AAATATTTACTAATTGGTCAGTGATTGGTCATAGGGCATTCATTTATGAACTCGAGGCACATTTTTCGAAATATTTCAGAGGAGGGTTCATTAAGTAGTCACTTCGTATAAGGCTTTATCAATTCTCTACCACCAACACAATATGCAAACATGAAATTCCCGAAAAGAAAAGGGTGAAATAACTCGTTGTATAAACACGGAGGAGAGGTTGCAAAAGGAAGAGCAGGAAATTGTAATATTCATATCTTCACAATGTATTCGTAATTAAAACTGCTTTTCATGCATTACAATAACTTATTAAAAATCTCTCTAGTCAATTTCAACTGGACCCCTACGTAAATAACACTGAGCATTAATTAATTTCAAATGGCAGGCGTTTTGTTAGTTGTCATTAGCCCTTTAGCTGACTTCGGGCTCTACAGGGGGGAAGGAACATTGAAGTAACAGGAAGTCGAGGTGTGGGGAACAGAAGAGTGATTTAGAGATGTTAAAGAGACAGACACAAAGGCAGAGAAAAGGTAGAATGAGTACTGTGGAAGTGGTAGAATATGACATACAGTGGGGTGATGGTAGTTTGAAGTCAGAAGTCAACCGCCATATGAGTATACGTTGCACAGGGTCCACCACGTGGAGGTAAGTCTTTCGCACACCCTGAGCATGTTAGTATCATCATAGTGCTGATACTGGGTTTTCATTCACCCTTATTTTAGCCTATCTATCTTACGTCACTAGATGTGCGTCAGTGGCCATCGAACACATGTTCTTCAGTCAGCATATAACTCACCGTATCATATGCTCAAATTACATTCCGCATTTTGATGAGTTCTGAACGAAATTGTTTCCAAGCCAACGTTTCCAGGCCTACGTCTGCACCTGCATATTTGAGTGGTAAACTGAAGTTTTGGTTTTGGATGTCCATTAACTATACTGGGTTAGGTGTCTTCACTTTGAATGGAAAACTGCCGAATCTTCTGAAATTGGTTTTGAATCTAATGACTGTTCAGAGAATTCAATTTTATACCAGTAAACAAAATGTCGCATCTTTTATTGGTTGATGCTCAAAGGAAAAAATACATTCGCACTTAATTTATACAGCATCGTTTAGACATCTTTCCCATTGTATGTTCTAAGGTATTTAATTTAAGAAATAAATGTTTAAATCTTATTTATGATTTTAAACAGATGAAATTGCAAAAAAATGTGACCCTTTATGAAAAAATGAATTTCCCCAAAATGTAGAAAGCATACTTCTCTCTAAACATTCATTATTAAACCTCGGAGTTTGAAATTCCAGTTCTGCTTCAAAAAATGCAAATTCGGACTTTGTTACATAGAGTATGCAGCCGAAAACCGGGACAGTTTTGTGAAGAAACCGCCATGGAATTCATTACATGAAGTTGAGTTAAACAAAATGAGCTAGTTTCTTAAAGACCCAACTTGAAAATATATGAGGTTATCGAGGTGATTTTGAAACGCACTTTTAATAAAGCTCATTATTTTATAGCACTAAAATATTCACTTGGTGGTAATATTGCCTCAAAGTACAAAAGCAATCGATAGATTTTAGATATTGCGTCCTAATACTAGAACATATTTTAAAGGGTTACTTCTTAAAATTAGGGTTAATTGTCAAGGGCAAAAAGGGGATATCATTAAATTGCCGAGGATAAGGTATTTTCAGTTATGGATTTTGATTATTGATTGGTTAACGCGAAAATAGTGCGTTTAAAAAATTGTCGTGGAAACCATAGTATCTGGTATTCGTATAAAACGTTCACATCAATAGGTGACTGCCAGTTTTTTATCAATAGAACGGGAAAAAATTTTATTATCGGAATTTAAATAATCGTTAAAAATTACCATTTACAAACTGGGGTCATTTGTGGCAAGATTCCTAGAAGTAGATGCCTATTCATTCTATATGATTATTGCCGCATTTAAGGGGGAACAGACTTCAGTAAAGCGACATTTCAGAAATGCATACATTTTTGGGGTGTTTCTGAAATTTGTCTTCAAATGTATCATTTAGCGGTGACCCCATAAGAATCCTCATCTCCTAAGTTCATTAAACTGCGTTTCCCACCAGCTAGCAACCAAAAATCCACAAAACCCACACCCTCTTTAAATCAAGTCTTACTTGCCCCAAAAGTTGACCGAGACCCGCCAGCGACGGTGGTGGTGTTGGCGGTGGGGGGTGGGGGGGGGGGGGGGTCTATCGCATAGTCGAGAGGGCATTGAGGTCAACCTATTTAGAGGAATTTTAGAAATTGGGAAATATGTTGTCCAACGTCCTATTAAAGCCCCATCTGTCAACTTAAGTGCTAGGCAATAATGACAACAAAATGTAAACCATGAATCACCCAAAGAATTCTATTCTCCATGTAATCGAACATCAACTAGAACTGAGACGATATATGCGAATCCGTAGTGCCATCACCTTTTTTGCAAGCGAAGGAAAGAAGAGAGGGAATGAGAAGGTGAGCGGTTAACTATATTAAGCGCTCCATCCAATTGATTGGTATTATAGGAACTGTGGAAAAAGAATTGATGAAAATTAATATTAGCTCGCCAATCAGGTTTTTGATAAGAAGCGCAAGATGCTGAGAAGATTGAATAATCATGATTGAATACTAGAGTGGAAAATTGGCTGATCGGTTGACTGAGCGGAATTTGGATCAAGTTGAACTCTCAGCATCGTTTGACCTTCACTTTCATTGTTCAAAAGGTCGAAAACGTTCTCTTTAAAATCATTATCTTCCCATTCTTTTCGCTCCATTTTGTTTCTGAACCATTATGAATTATTGGCCTCTCATTCTCTTTTCTCCACTACTTCATGAACCAAATTAGTTGGATTTTAATACTCGATAATTCAATATATATATCTATATATATTCCTTTTTTGTCCAAAGACAATTTGCGTGAAATAGCGACGAAATATACGCCATCTGGTTCAATTAATTCCTTCTTCGCAGAAATGCATTTCCAGCATACTGCAAACACCTTCCCAATTATTCACTTCCATTTGCAGTTGTACTTTCTTCCAACATGGGGTGTGCGTTAGACTTACCTCCATATGGTGAACCCTGGGCAACGTATACTCATACGGCAAAAAAGTCTATTAATTGGCAGTTGACTTCTGACTTCAAACTACCAAGGTCCCATTGCATTTCATATTCGACTACTTTCACAGTACTCACCTCACCTTTTTCCTTCCTTTGTGTCTGTCTTTTCTACACATTTGAAATACTCTTCTGTTCCCCACACCCCCCCCCTCTACTTTTTTCCCTTTAATGTTCCTCCCCCCCCCTGTGAAGCCTGAAGTCAACTAAAGGGCTAATGATAATATTAAAACGCCTGCATTTGATATAAATGAATAAATAAATAAATATAACTTACTTGTAACATTTAGATGGACGTACGTTTTAGACATTTCTATGAAGCTTCTGTTCTCTCAAATATGATTCACCAAATTGAAGGAATTTGAATATGACATTGTGGCATAAACGTAGATTGATTGATTGTGATTTATTAATTTCACAATTGATATTTAATCTAATTAGTCAATGTAGTTAAAACTCATCGTAGACTAATGAGGGCAATTGCTGATGTTGCCTGAATTTGTGAATATTGTTGGATCTGTTTATCCAATTTGTCGTCTTTTATTGAAGAAGACAAACAAATTTACTCTTTATTGAATTTATTCGAATGAATAACGGTAACTTTATTTTAAAAATATAATAACAACGAAAATTTCGTACAATCGGACTTCAAAGCTATGTTCCACCGCAGCCTCTAGAATTTCTGTTATTCAATTGTCCCTGTTTTCATTCTCAATATGGTTTAACTAAATTAAATTTCATTACGTGATTATGTTAATGAATGCCGAAGAATGAAAGAGGCATGATCCAGCATAAGGTCGGTGAAATTACGGCTAGGCCGTTTGTTTTTAAGCACAGCCTGGCGGATGCACGGAAGGGAAAGCAAATCCATGCCCGAAGGAAAATACAGGACCCGTTTTCCTTCCCTGTCTTAGAAAGCATGCTGGAGGAGATTTGACGCCTTGAAATAAGGATTTTATGAAAATGGAAAGGGAGTGTGCATTTATTGTGTCGAGTTGTCTAGAGATGTTTATATATAGCACTTGAAGGGTACCATTATTCCCTTCCAGTAGCTGACGATATACCTGTACCGCTCAAGGGTGATACATGTTTAACGAAGTTGGAGCAAGTCGAGTTCGAACCTGAGTGTTGTGAATGTCTGATTAACACGCACCTAGGTCAATGTAGATTAAGTGGACATTGATTCTAAATGAAACATCCATTGCTTTCTTCCTGCACACACACACACACACACACAGTGAGCAACGTGATTGATTAATTTAATAATTAAAGAACACAACTGCTTATCAGGGCATTATCATGATAGTTGCAAGTAGTGTATTTGAATTAACGCATTTTAAATTAAGTTTTCCATTTGAGACCAACGAGGCGCGAGTTCTTCTTGAAATTCATGTCTTAATGGCATTTTTTGACTCTGTAGGTTTACCATCCTGATCATCCCATGTTCACTTCCTTCCTGAAATTAATTTATAATCTTAGCATTTTTCTACCTTTCATGGATGACTTTCATGGACCTTCAACCACCTTCCATAAGGCGCTGTCTGGCACTTTTCTGCCGACTTCCAAAGAGGAATTTAGAAACTGAAGCCCATAGTGATATCAGATTTTATTCAATCTCATCATAAATTAAATTTGTCGATGGTCATTGAAGCAGGTAATTTAATTTACGTAATAGGAACAGTGAACACATTAATTTTTTTTGAAGTTGGAATAGAGAAGGCCTTGGAGCACATGCATTCCCGCGACTGACACCAGAAGAAGTGAACTACGGACAAATTGAGAAAGAGGCACTTTCCATTGTTTATGCGGTGAATAAGCTTAGGTAACTTTTCCCATAGTTGTTGATTTACGCTTCTGATGGCAATCAAACCTTTGTTATCAATGTTAGATATTCAGCGAATACCCTTTTACTCTGGGCAGGATATGACTTCCAAATTAAATTTCTGTGGACTACTAAGTTTGGACAAACTGGCAGATTACCGCGTTAATTACAAAGCAACAATTGAGTTCTTAGAAGAAAGGTATTGTCTAGAGGACTCGCATATGGGGCGGAAATTGATAACGACAGAGCTGCTTGTCATGGACTGTCTCAAATGCAGTGCGGGTGTTGATCCTGCTGTTCATGTTAATGGTGTTGCGGACCTGGTTTTGATTGGCTCGTGATCCGAGTGGCCGAAAGCCTGAAATTTTAATGTCAGACGACTGGGTACAGTTCGACAACTACTGTCGACAATGAACTATTTATCCCATCCGTGCATCCCATGTAATAGCTAATTAGATGCTGTAGAACAACTTTTAGGAAATATGCTTCGAATCATCAGTCATATTTACATACCGGTGGAAAATACAAATGAACCAATGTAAAGTCAATAAAGAGGTATGTCACTCGCCATTGATCTCTTGTTTTAACTCGATTTCAAAATTGATCGTTTCTAAATGGCTGCATGTGTGCTTAAAAGGCACGGAAACTTGATCTACGGAATTTTGGCAAGTGGCGTTAAGTGGATCCGGCATAAGAATCAGTTGGGGCCACATATTGTGGGAGCAAAATCAACTCCATCATCAACCCCAATTTCCTTCCTGCTGAACGATTTCAAGCTTTCAGATCATAAGTCGGATAAGACCCAAGAAGAAGAGCCCCAGAAAATTAGACTCTAAGCTCTAAATGGTCTGGTGTTTTCTGAAATCATGAATAAATTTTGTAAACGTTGCGCACATTTTTCTGAGGCAAATGGTGATATTTCATAAAGGTCAGTCATATCTCTGTTTTTTCTTCTCTTCTCCTTCCTACTGCCAGTTTACGAATATTCTGATATTGTTAGCTGGAATTGCATTAGATACCATGGAAGTTATGGATTAAGTAACCGTATGGAACTAGTTGTAATACAACACTTTGCCAATCCGTATTTAGAGAATAGTGGCCCTCCAGGGGGTAAGTAATCTGCTTAGATCTTTTTTTGCGTCATTGATTAGGTGTGCATGCATTGGTATTATTCAGTGCTCCCAACTTCATTGCAATTTCACTATTCACTCCTCAACTTATAAACTCTCTCCGTTGATTTTTCCACTGTTTCTAGTGGCTCTTGGATTCGCAAGTCAAAATTCAATCATCATATGTATTTTAACTACCTGTAACTTCAACCACTGGATAGTATTAACTCCTAAATCTAACTTCGGATTGGCGCTGGCACTCATTAACATGATCATTTGAACCATATTCTCTTTCATAGAAACCCTATGCAAGAGGAAATTTGAAAGTTAAGCGAAGCATTCAAGATTCAATTGATATATCAAATGGAATAGATAATATGCAGTATTTATTGCCCTACTTAAATCAAGTGAATGTTTTGTAACGGTGTATAGTAGTTCAGAAGAATGTGCATGCAAAATAAGCATTAATGGGGTCGGTTCGTAAATGGTGAATCACAAAATTTTCTAAATTCACATTACTTTCTAGCATGAGAAGGAAGGCCTGGTGTTTATGTGAAACGTATCCAAGATCAGTGACGGAAGTGGGTGTTAGCACAGCAAAAAGGCAGAGTTGGTGCAGCAGAGCTGAGTTCAAGATGCTTGACAAGGTGATTCATTTATTTAATAAGTGGTGCCCAGTGAATGATCAGTTTTGGAATTATAAAGCTACCACTTTTATCGAAATTTTACGATTACTTTCCTCAACTTCTTCTCAGTTCTAAAATTTCATTCTGCGATTGAAATGAATGAAAAAAATAGAAAACTTTTAAACGGTACGAGATCTAATATCAGCTATACTATATTTCCATATTTAATTAATGCCTGAGCAAAGACTGAAAAATAGAGGCCGAGCTGAGGCAATTTCCCATTTTTCAAACTCGACCGATTTCAGGTGTCTACCAACTTTGAGCATTAATAAAACAGAGCTGGATCATGATATAGGTGATCATGAAGAGGCAAATATAATTCATATCTCCTTCCATTAAAAATTAATATTGAATGTTTCCAATAAATTTGAAGAATGTTCTATAATAGAAATGAACCTTCGCATGTATCCTGAAGGTATTGAGGTCAAGGTGGAACTAAGTTGCAAAGTTAGAATACTTAAAGCCGCAAGTCTTGATCTCCAAAATGGTAGTTGCAATACTGAAATTAATTAGTGATATACTGTTAACCGACCGGACTTTCTAAAATGACAAGTTATATACCGAATTAAGTCTTATCATTTCATTCTCTCCAGTTGCATAATCCATTCTCGAACGTTTTATCAGCTAATAATCATCATTTCGGTGATTCTTTTTTGTCAATCTTGATTAATTTATTAATGATCTTTGGTAAATAATTCCCTTACAAGCAAAAGAAATATTGTTTTAAACTTTTCAACGTCGCCATCAAAGAAGTTTTTTTCTCATTCAAATTCGGAATTTTATAGGTCATTTGTTTCTAATTCCTGAAAAAATGTTTTAGATGATGTATCTTATTTTTTTAAAGTGCAAAAAAAGTGAAAATTCAATCCCCAAGTATTTGAGTGACTAATATGTTCAGAGCGCCATCATTTTGGGGATATTAGATATCCTATATAGCGGCTTCTCTTTGGTATGAATTGAGTTGGTAACACCACTTAACTTGATTACTTGGCCGAAACATGTAATGTCCTGCCAAATTATCAGTCGTTTTCGAGATTTATAATTACCTATCGATCACTAGTTTGCTTCAACCATATTAAAACTCAATTTTTCTTTGAAAAAGGTGGATAAGATTTCCCGATTTCTCGTGGTCTAATTCCCATTAATCACAGACATCTTTGATACTCTTCATTACTTTATTCCCAATTTTTATTCCAACCTTTCTAGTCTATTTATTCACTCCTCTAAACAATATCTTTATTGTTAAACAATCATAAGGAAGTTTTTTCTGCACACTTTTTCAACAGTTGTGGTTATCACTCCACGGTGAAGTTGGAAATAAACTGTCTGCAGTTGGATTGAAAACATGTTGGGATGAGCGAAAGTTCTCACTTCCTAATGGACATTCGTAGATTTATTTACGCAATGAACAACACTTGGTCAGAAATTTCACAATCAAGTAAACGTGTGAACCGATAGAAGTACGAAAAAATAAACAAAATTCTTGACCTCGAAATTGCAGCTTCGTTTCAATTAACTTATTATCGCGATCAGCTGCAAAAGTCATTATTCCAAGAGAAATAGCAAATACTTTTGGGGTATTGTTATAATAAGAAATTAAAAGCATTGTATTTCATGCAACTTGATAAGTTATGCATAAAAATAGCACTAATTTTGGGGTTAGAACATTATTAAGTCAATGAGTGCAATAAAATTACTTTTTAGACATTATCCGCAGTGATGCGACGTCATCGACACTCAAGACTAATAATATAGTGTCCCACATTTTGGGAATTGTCCCGGGGCCACAGACAAACATCGAAATTTAACAATTGGAACGCAAACGCTTAAATAATGCCATTCAATTCTCATTCTTAAGTAAGTCCCATAATAATGACCTGATCGATAAATAGAAGGTAGGCTAGTGCTTTCTGAATTCTGACATGAGCTTTAAGGACACTAGAAGATATTTAAACATGAAACCCCCCCCCCCACGCCATCTTTATTAAGTCGTGCTAATGCTATGCATTTGAGAAATTATGCTAGATTTCCTCCTTTACTGATAGAAACAATGAAAATGAATGAGATTTTGTGAGATATTTAATGATATAATGAAGGGGTGTGCGATAGACTTACCTCCATGTGGTGCACCCTTGGCAACATATACTCATACGGCAAAAAAAGTCTATTAACTGGCAGTTGACTTCTGACTTCAAACTACCATCATCCCACTGTATGTCCTATTCGACCCCTTCCAGAGTACTCACCTCACCTTTTTCTACCTTTGTGTGTGTCTCTTTTACATCGTTGAAGCCCTTTTCTGTCCCCCCTCTCGACTTTTTGTCACTTTGATGT